CACAAGATTATGTAGAAGAGAAAGCAGTAGCCTTATTATAAATACTAACTTAAAAGGTACATATGACCTTATTAAATGTTATTTATTTACGTTATATAAGTATACATAATATGTAATGTATACTAATGCTATATATACAGAGTAACATGTATATATAAAATATACAATATATATTGTATACATATATATTATATAACTATACATAGTACATATTTATATTGTATAATCATACATTATTTATGGTATAAATACATATTTGTTTATAATATTTATTATATGTTTATTATAAACAAATATTTCTAAATATAGTGAGTCTCTGACTTATGATGATTTGACTTAGGAGTTTTCAACTTTAAGATGGTGTGAAAGTGATACACATTCAGTAGAAACCATACTTTGAATTTTGAATTTTGATCTTTTCCCAGACTAGTGATAGGTATATTAAGTATATTTTGGCTTAGGATATTTTCAGTTTATGATACGTTTATCAGGATGTAATCTCCATGTTAAGTCAAGGAGCATTTTAAATTATTAAAATATTAATATATTAAGAGTATGGACTCCGGTGCTTGCCTTTGCCACCTATTAGTTCCATTATCTTTGGCAAGTTGGCTGAGCCCTGTGCTTCATTTTTCTTCTTGTCAAATGTGGCTAATATTGATACCAACCTCAGGGTTGCTGTAAGGATTAAAAGAGTTAATATATGTAAAGTGCTTAGAACAGAGCACATACTAAGTGCAATATTTGGTTGAACCACATGAAATTGCCAATATTTGTCCATTTTTAATGTAACAAAAAATTTTGGTTTCATATAATTCAACTCAGTAGTAACAACTTGCTAATTTTTAAAAAATTGTTGTTGTTGTTGAATCAATGTCACATATTAGGGATGTGATTTACTGACCAAAATCCCTTGAATCAGTATGACTGGAGGCAGGGCCTGGGAAACTAAGTTAAAGCCAATATAAATCTCCCTAGGTGACTGAGCTGAGCAGCCAGGTTTTAGGATTTTTTGACTTAAAATGTTGCTCAGGAGACTTCTTATAGAATAAAGAGAATAGCACTGATAATTAAGAGAGGGAGTCTGGACAGGAATGTTTGCCTCAGGGTGAGTCATACCTTGAGTCTCATCCATATCTGATTTCAAGATGATATTTAGATGAGAATTTCAATTCTAGACTTTAGAGTTGGTACTGGAATGAGTTAAGACTTTTGGGGCCTGTTGAGATGGAATGGATGTATTTTCCATTTAAGAAGAACATAAATTTGGGAGGTTAAACGTGGAATGCTGTGGAGTGAATTTTACCCCCTCTAAAGTCCTGTGTTGAAGCTCTAACCCTAATGTGTTGGTATTTGAAGATGAGGCCTTTGGGAGGTTTAGATGAGGTCATGAAAGTGGGGCCATAGTGATGGGATTAGTGCTGATATGAGAAGAGATACCAGAGCTTATGGTCTCTCTCCACCCCTCATGGGACGACACAATGAGAAGGTGGTTGTCTACAGGTCTGAAAGAGAGCGCTCAGCATAAACTGACCATACTGGCACCTTGATCTTGGACTTTTAGATTCCAGAACCATGAGAAAACAATTTCTGTTGTTTAACCTACCCAGTCTGTGGTATTTTGTTATGGCAGTTCAAGCTAACTAAGAAATTCTTCCCTCTAGTCTTTTGTATCATTGCTGCCTTTCATTTCACTTATGCATAAGCATGCATTTTTATATGCATATACACAATAAGCATCCATAATAGAATACTTTATTATTTTTGTACAAACTGTTATGTATTAAATTAACAAGAAAATGTTTTTATTACGGTTTCACATATTCCTTCTCCAGTGCTCTTCCTTTCTTTATGTAGATCAGAGTTTCTGACCTAAATTATTTTCTTCCTCTCTGAAGAACTTCATTTAGCATTTCTTGCAAGGCAAGTCTACTGAAAACAGATTGCTTCAATTTGTATTTGTCTGAGAAAGTCCTTATTTCTCTTTCACTTTTAAAGGATAATTTCTTAGGATATAGCTTTAGGTTGGTGGTGTTTTTCTTTCTATGCTTTAAATATTTCACTGCACTCTCTTTGTATGGTTTGTGAGAAGTCAGGTGTAATTCTTATCTTTGCTTCTCTGTAGATAAGGCCCCCATACAGCTTCTTTCTAGATTTTTTCTTTATCTTTGATTTTATGTAGTTTCAATATGATTGGCTGAGGTGTCTGTTTGTTTTGTTTTTGCATTTATCCTGCTTTTTGTTCTCCGATCTTCCTGGATAAGTGGTTTAGTGCTTAATGTTAATTTGGAGAAATTCTTAGCGATTACTATTTCTTCTGTTCCTGTCATTCTTTTCTTTCTGATATTCCCATTATGTATATGTTACATCTTTTGTAGTCGTCCTGCAGTTCTTGGATATTCTGTTCCATTTTTCCAGTCTTTTTTTCTCTTTGCTTTTCAGTTTTGAAGGTTTCTATTGACATGTCCTAAAGCTCAGATTCTTTCCTCAGCTGTGTTCAATCTATTAGTGAACATCTCAAAGGCATTCTGTTATAGTGTTTTTTTAATCACTAGCATTCCTTTTTGATTCTTCCTTAGAATTTCCACTTCTCTGCTTATATTACCCATCTGTTCTTGCATGTTGTCTATTTTTTCCATTAGAGCCCTTAGCATATAGTTTTTAAAAATTGCTGGTCTGATAATTTTACACATTTTTGGTATATCTCACTTCGGCTCTGCTGCTTGCTCAGTTTCAAACTGTTTTTCCTTGTGATTTTTTTTTTCTTAATAGCTGGAAATGATATACTGGGTAAAAGGAACTGCAGTAAATAGGCCTTTAGGTATGGACAGAGGGGACATATTCTATTGTCCTATGATTAGGTCTGTCTTTTAGTGAACTTTGTCCCTGGATTGTGAATGTCACTAGTACTCCTCAGTTTTCCCCTCCTTAGATGGGACAGGATGGCTAGAGGGCTGGAGTTGTGTATTTCCTTTTTCCTGAGTCAGTTTGGCTCCGATAAAACCCCAGTAGATTTGGCTATGGTAAAATAATTTTTCCTGAGGGAGGGGCTTGTTAAGAACAGACTACTCTGGGCCAGGTGCAGTGGCTCACTGCCTATAATCCCAGCACTTGGGGAGGCTGAGGCGGGTGGATCACCCGAGACCAACCTGGCCAACATGGCGAAACCCCGTCTCTACTAAAAATACAAAAATTAGCTGGGCGTGTTGGCACACACCTGTAATCCTGGCTACACAGGAGGCTGAGGCAGGGGAATCGCTTGAACCCAGGAGGCCGAGGTTGCAGAAAAAAAAAGACTACTCTGGCTTATTCAGAAATGGTTATTTTTACCTTCCTCCTGCTGGAAGGACTAGGGGATTTTTCTCCAATATTCACTGTGAGAACTTTGTTGAACTCCTGGAACTAAAACTCACAGAAGTGTGAGGACATCCTCCCCATCCCTGCAATGACAGGGTCCTCTGGAGTTTTTAACTCTCAGACTTGCCCACACTGAGTTTCCAGCAATTCAGTTCTCCTACTCCAGCACTGGTTCCAGCACAGATTTCTTCTCCGGTTCCTGTGGAGGTTTCTGTTCCCGTAAGTTGTGATTGTATTACCTCTCTCTCTCTGTCTCCAGTTTGGGGGCCAGCAGTTTGCCCTGTGACCTTGCTTTTCTGCTGGATCTAAGAAAAGTTGTTGGCTTTTCAGTTTGTTCAGCTTTTTACTTGTTAGGACACAGTGGTGACTTCTAAGCCCTTTACATGCCAGATTGGTCCCCTGTATTCATCTTTGTTTCCTGGAAGAACTCAACCTGTTGCCTGTTTTATCCTTTTCATAATGTGTTCCTTTGTTTTTCCTCCTAGGGTACTCTTACTGAGGCTGGCAAGACTTATTTATTTTCTGGATATCTGTACCATTGAAATCATACTGTCTCCTCCTCAACTAAATAGAATCCTTTTTAATGAGGCCTCTTAACACAGCTGAATTTGGGCTACTAGTGAAAATTAGCTTAGCTAATTAGTAAGGTACCATTCTATTAGTTACATCTGCTTTTTCTTTGACTGGGAGAACATTTTACGCTGCCTTGACTGTGGTGAATTTAGTTTATATCCATTTCCTGCTTAAATTATTAGGATACAGTATGTGGAATTATGCTATAATTGCTTCACTACGTATTTTATTAGCTCCTTGAGCTCAAGAACTTTCCCTTATATGCTGTTCTTTTCTTAGTGCCTGCTACAAAAGTGCTTGTTAAATGTGGGATGATGGACATTATTTATAGAATTAAGATATAGAAGTTCCTAATTTGATAACCTGGCTATATATTTTTTCTTAATATGTATATATTCTTTCTTTTTTTTTTTTTTTCTTTTTCTGAGAGAGAGGAGTTTCATTCTGTTGCCCGGGCTGGAGTCCAGTGGCATGATCTCGGCTCACTGCAACCTCTGTCTCCTGGGTTCAAGAAATTCTCCTGCCTCAGCCTTTCGAATAGCTGGGACTACAGGTGCACGCCACCATGCCAGACTAATTTTTTGTGTTTTTAGTAGAGATGAGGTTTCACCATGCTGACCAGGCTGGTCTTGAACTCCTGACCTCGTGATTTGCCTGGCTTGGCTTCCCAAAGTGCTGGGATTACAGGTGTGAGCCACCGTGCCTGGCCTGTTCTTTGAAAATTCATATTTTCAAATGATAGGCAGTAGAGCTATATGTCAGGTTTATACAGTATCCAGCCCCAGTCTTGCACATATAGTTCCTGTTTTGCAGATGGAGGACACAGTGATGTACGTTGCTTGTGTAGTGTGGTATCCTAAGGACTTAAAATATTTATGTTTACCTTTCCTTAAAATGCTGTTTAATCACACGTGTAAGTGTGCATAGAGTAGAGGTACTAGAAATTTAAGCTTATGATGATATACCTTAGATGATGGAAATAGTCTAGGGTTTAAGAGTTTGTTAGAAGTCATATTCCTGTATTATTAGTATAGCTTAATTAACATTACGTTGCACTTTGTGTTTTGCAGACTGCTCTCTCTGTATAAGAAAATTTCTGTCCTATAAAACTCAGTGTCCAACTTGTTGTGTGGTGAGTTGTTTCTTTTTTTAAAAAAATTTACTGACTGCCGCAAGCAAATATTTCTGTTTTGTGTATACATAAAAGCCTGTGTATATGTAGGGTGATGTGCAGTTACTGAATTAAGCTATATGAAAGACATTTTCAGAAAGGACCTCTAAAGTACGTGTAAGAGAGCTGGGCTTTGTTCAATTTTTCATCAAGATTTCTGAAAACCTAAATGTATTTTAGTAAGTAAAAACTAATTTTAAATTCAGGATGTAGCACTCTATTTTTATGACCCATGTCTTTATGGCTTCTAATTTTTAGTAATTTCTCACTTTGGTAGAAACTCTGATGATAGGATTATTTATTTGCAAAGAACTGGTCTAAGTATTTGTGCAGAAGGTAAATATGCTTAGCCATTGGGCTTAATCCAGCCTATCTGTTCTCTTACCTCTTTCCTTTCCCAGAGCTTTAGGGAAAACACTAGATGTTTGTTGTTATTTTTTTCTGAAACTGTTCAAGTAGTGGGAACAGGTGGAAAAGTGGACTAAAAGCGTAATTAAACATAAGTGGGAATAAAGAAAGAAGAGACAGGTGAGGTCTAACAGAGCGGACACTAGGACTAGGTAAGGAGTTTGGTTAGTTTTGCCTCTCTGGTGGTATCAGGGTGTTATTGAACCTTTTGAAACTATTTCTCTATGTAAGAAATTTTGTGATTTGGCTCCCAAGTCTAAGATCTTTGTAATATGTTACACTGCCTTTGTCAAGATGGTCTCATCACTGAGATAAACTGTGTACTATTCATACTAAATAAGTATTGGGTTTATCACTTTTCTCTTGTCTTACTGAAAACCAGTCTTACTTTAAAATTCTCTTCGAACACTTAATGCCTCTCCCAATGTCAGTACTTAAGAGAAGATTCCTCTTCTGTCAAGAGAAAGTTTTGAGAAAGCTGAATGCTAGCATTTTGAAGAAAGATTCTTGCTTATATTAGTTTTGACTGTAGTCAGTACAGAGTATATATGATTTTAAGAGAAGCTTTGGAGAGCTTTCATCAGGCTTCCAGTCAGCAGATACTGATTTCACTGTTTTAAAATTTCATATTAGCATGAGATAAATGAACTTTATTTTGAGGCTGCCTTAGAAGACTTAGTGGGATGAAGAAACTCAGGAAGATGGGTCACACATTTTCTAAAACAAGATTATGATGTTAATTATTGTTTTTTACCTTTTTTCATCTGTTGTTTGTTTTTTCTAGACAGTCACAGAGCCAGATCTGAAAAATAACCGCATATTAGATGAACTGGTAAAAAGCTTGAATTTTGCACGGTATGATTTAATTTTGCGACTAACCTCTAACTACTTTCGCCTTGTATATGTGTTCTCTCTGTGCACTTTTGGATTAGGAAATGCAGGGTTGCATATTTTATAGTCAAAGAAGGGAAGTAATAGTAGTCATTCATTCACACATGAAACTTTACTAAAGTACGATTTCCTTCCTTCACTTAATAGAAATTCTTCTGTAGTATAGAATAATTAAGAGTTAAAATGCAGATTTGAGGACCTCCTTACTTTTGGGTGCTCTAAAGATACTCATTTTCCTGTCCAAGCCCTGGAATCAGCCATTTCTCCAAGGAGCTCCTCTTATTGAAGAATAATATTTAGAGACCAGGATCTGGTGCTGGGTATGCTTGCTGCTTCTAGGGTGTTATTGCTTCTAGGCCCACTCAATGGACAGAGCTAAGTAATATATGTATGTTATATATGTGTACTACTGTATATGCACATATCTATAATTGATTCTGTCTGTTATATATTAATCTATTAATTCCTAATCTGATTTATTCAGCATGTATTAAATGGCATGGCATTTGAAATATGTAATTGCTTGTACTTTATAAAGCTCAGATATGTAGCTTTAATTCCTGTCAATTGCATGAATGTGTGAAAGTGAGTTTGATCACCCAAAGGGATATCAAAAGGCATGTTTCACTGTCTTGAATTACTTTTAGTTTTAATCATGCAAGTCAAGCAAGAATTTTTATGAAGGACATATTGTGTTTAGATAGTGGTCAGGTGCCCACGTAATTAAGTTTAATCATATGTTGCTTAAAAGGGATATGTTCAAGAAATGTGTCATTAGGCAATTTGTTTGTCGTGTGAACATCATAGAGTGTACTTACACAAACCCATGTGGGATAGTCTACGACACTCCTAGTCTATATGGCAGGGCCTGTTGCTCTTAGGTAACAAAACCTGTACAGTATGTTACTATATCAAACATGATAGGCAGTTGCAATACAATGGTACCTATTATCTAAACATAGAAAAAAGTACAGTGAAAATATGATATAAAAGATTAAAAATGGTACACCTATATAGGGCATTTAGCATGAATGGAGCTTTCAGGACTGGATGTTGCACTTGGATAAGTTTAATGGAACCATCATCATGTATTTGGTCTGTTGTTGAACAAAGCGTCATTATGTGGCATGTGACTGGATGGGACTTCTGGGCTTGTTGGAACATTCTTAGAGGTACCTTATGTTGCTTTAAAAAGTATAAACAGTTTTCTTTCAGTAGATTTGCACATTTCTTTATTGGTTTGCATTCTGAAAATGATCAAGTTTAGTACAGTTGTCTCTTAGTACAGGGAATTGATTGGTCCCAGGACCCCTGAGAATTCCAAAGCCTGTGATGCTGAAGTTCCTGACATAAAATGGTATAGTATTTGCATATACATATCCTCCCTTATTCTTTAAATCACCTCTAGATTACTTATAGGCCTAATACAATGCTGTATAAATAGTTGTCATACTGTGTTTTTAAAATTTATTTTATTTTTTATTGTTGTATGGTTACTTTTATTTTTTGAACATTTTTGCTCTGTGATTAGTTGACTCCACAGATGTGGAACTGGCAGATTTGAAGGGCCGACTGTACTCTGAGCTAGTTTCATGTGCATTCTAGAAATTGGATGGTTAGTTATTTCCTTAAGGAAAAAAAAAGATGGAATAATTTGAAAAAGAAGTTTAAAAAAGATGGCATAGTTTCCTAGATTAAGAAACTTTAAAATTATCTGATTTTCCCAATTAACGTTACTGTTTTTCTTAACATTTTTCACCAGTTTTTGAAATCTATGAGAGAGTAGGACCATGCCTTTAAAAGGGAATTTATTGCTCGTTTTTCTCAAGGCTTGTTTTTTTCCTCAGCTAGTACTGAAGCATAACAACTTTCCTGCTAGGATACAGGAAGCCTTGCAAATAACAGCATCTGTTTGTTGAAGAGAAGTGGTCAGTATCTTTGGATTCACAGACCTTTTGGTGTAACTTAAGGGGAGGTCATGAAATTGTTGAGCTCTCCTCTGTCCTCTCTCCTTCCCAAAAGGAATAGGCCATTTAATTATTCATTATAGTGGGTATGGTAGGGTGGGAAGCATTCTTTGTAGATTTGGGATGGTTTATGTTGTTTGCTCCTTTCTCTCCTTGCTTTCTTGGAATTGCTGTTCTTCCTAGCATCATCCTTGTGGTGAACGTTTGTCATATGTAAAGTGCTGTGGTACTTCATTTGCAAACTTAGGAGGGACAAAAGTCAAGCTAACCAATTTCATTATCTGTTTGAACTCTGGATTAAGATTTATGAGGGAGGAAGTTTAATCCTGTGACCAAAATGTAAGATATTTATGTTGTTTGTCAGTTTCATTTCTTGCATTCTCATCTGTCGTTGTCATTTTATGTGCCATTATGACTTTAAATATTTAATATTCTAGATTTAATAATATAAAAGGGATATTGGAAATAATAATATAAAAGATATTGGAAATAATTTTAGAGGTTTTTCATCTACAAGGCTGACATATAGCTCTTATATTTTTGTCTGACCTTTGACTTTTACTTTCAAAGAATACGTGTTTTTTTCCTTGATTTAGTTTTATTTAAAATAATGTTCTTAACCTGTTGTTGAACATTTATTAGAATATTTTTGTCTAAGTGTAGCATCATTCTTGACTTAAGTGAATATTGTTTCTCTGTTTTTGTAGCCAGCATCCATCTCTATCATTATTTTTAGGAATTGAGAGTAGAGAACATCATTTACTGCTTTTGTTTATCCACCATCAAGGGATAAGTTTTTCTGCAAATATTCTAAGTTTAAGAATTTAAACATTTTATATGACAAGTAGGTAATTCCCTCAGCAGCTCACAAAGAGGATGTAGAATATAATTTCACCTTTTTTGTTCTATAGTTTAAAGCATATTCATGTTGAATTCAGGCAGAACTGGGAGTTGGTCTAGGCCTTACTAGTTCTAAAGTGATTGTGATCAAGGTATTTAACCTCTTTGCCTTTTGTTTCCTCATCTAAAAAATGAGAATAACACTGTTGATAGCTTGAGGATTAGAAATGAAAAGCTATAGTAAAAGACATCCAGCATAATACCTAGAACAAAAGAACCTAAAAAGATTCCTATTATTATTATTATTATTATGTATTGCCTATATTTTCAATAGTGTTGATGCCCCAAGGTGCTATGAAAAGAATTTATGCTTGTGTGAACCACTGCTTGTTTAGCCAAATGGTTCTAGACTGCTGTTTACATGTTTCTGTTCAGAACAAGTGTTGCAGGGACTTCAGTTACAGAAGTCCATGGAATTGATTGCATCGATTTAATGATTGCCCATGTCTACACAAAGGCCTATTTTGACTCTTGATTCTTAGCCCCATTCTAAAGAGATAAGGTTATTATAGTTAACAGATGAGCAAGACTATCTCTTCCCTTCTCATTCCCTTCCCCTTCCCGATGACTAATGTACCTTTTAATGTGCTATTGACTATTCTTAAGGTCTTTCAGTTTTTTGTGCAATTTAAGAAAATTGAATTTTGTCTTTTTCTTACTGATTGGTAGGAGCTCTTTGCATATTTCGGTTAAATATATGTATTGTGATTTTTTGCTTCCTGTCTGTGGCTTGCCTTTTCATTTTCTTAAGGGTATCTTTCGATGAGCAGAGGTTTTAATTTTGATTAAGTTCAGTTTCTCTCTCTCTTTTTTTTTTTTTGAGACCGAGTTTCACTCTTGTTACCCAGGCTGGAGTGCAATGGCACCGTCTCGGCTCACCGCAACCTCTGCCTCCTGGTTTCAGGCAATTCTCCTGCCTCAGCCTCCTGAGTAGCTGGGATTACAGGCACACGCCACCATGCCCAGCTAATTTTTTGTATTTTTAGTAGAGACGGGGTTTCACCATGTTGACCAGGGTGGTCTCGATCTCTCGACCTCGTGATCCACCCGCCTCGGCCTCCCAAAGTGCTGGGATTACAGGCGTGAGCCACTGCGCCTGGCCCCTCTCTCTGTCTTTTTAATGGTTAGTGCTTTTTAATCATAAGAAATCTTTGCCTATCAAGATTTTTAAATATGTTTTTTCTAAGATTGTTACAGTTTTAGCTTTTACATTTAGATCTATGAACTTATTCAAGTTAATCTTTGTGTATTATGGAGATAAATATTAGGAGTTTTTTTTTTTTTTTCTAAACAGATACTCAGTTGCTCTAGCACCATGATTAAAAAGATCCTCTAAATTGCAGTGACTCCTTTGTTGTAAATCAAGCGACTATGTATGTGTGAGTCTATTTCTGGACACATTATGTTTCATATTTTCTTTGTCATTAAGCGAATACTGCAATGTCTTTAATATTTTAGGTGTATTGTAAGTCCTTAAAATCTGGTAGTTCAAGTTTCTAACTTTGCTCTTCTTCAAGACTGCTGGCATTTTAGGGCCTTTGCATTTCCATATAGATTTTAGAATGCATGTATGATTTCCACTTCCAAAAATGTAGCTTGTGTTTTGATTGGGATTGCGTTGAATTTATAAATCAATGTGGGAAAAATGCACACCTTCTTAACATTGACATGAAATAGTTCTTCATTCATTTTGGCCTTTTATTTCTAAGCAGTGTTTTATAGTTTTCAGGACATAGGTTTTGCACATTTTCATTAAATTTATTCACAAATATTTAATATTTTCAGATGACATTTTAAGTGGTTTTTATTTTAAAATTTTATTTTTTGTTTGCTAATATATAGGTATAACATTTTTATTTATTGACATTAGATACAGAATCTTGTGAAAATGTACTTATTCTAGGTCCTTGTAGATTCTTTTGGATTTTCTTTGTATATAATCATTTTATTTGTAAATAAAGTCTTCTTTCCAGGTGGTGGTGGTAGACATCCTTGTTTTATTTCCAGTCTTTGGAGGAGATGGTCAGTGCTTCAGTAATAACTGATATTAGCTATAGCTTTTGTTAAAGTATCTTTTATCAGATTAAGAAAGTTTCCTTCTATTCCTAGTTTTCTGAATGGTTTTATTATGAATGGATGTTAAATTTTATCAAATGCTTTCTCTGCATTTATTGAGATGATTATATAGTTTTTCTCCTTTATTTTGCTAATGTGATGAATTGCACTGGTTGATTTTTTTCAAATGGTAAACCAGCCTTGCATTCTGGAATAAATTCCACTGGGTCATGACACATTACATTTTAAAAATTTATCTTTAGATTTTGTTTGTTAATATTTCACTTAGGATTTTTGTGTCTATATGAGAAATTATTGGACTATAATTTTCCTTTCCTACAATGTGCTTGTGTGGTTTTGTTAGCAGGGTTATGCTGACTTCAGCATACGTTGGGAAGTGTTTATTCTTTTCCATTTTCTGGATGAGGTCATATAATATTGATATTATATCTTCCTTAAATATGTGGTAGAATTTTTTACCAGTGAAGCCATCTGGGCTTCGAGTTTTCTTTGTGGGAAAGTTTTAAATTATAGCTTCAGTTTCTTTAATAGATAATAAGGGCTCTTCAGGTTTTCTGTTTGTCAGTTTTGATGAATAGTGCTTTTCAAAGAATTTGTCCATTTAATCTAAAATTTAAAATTTATTACAAAGAGTTCATAATATCCTCCAGTTATCTTTTTTATAGGATTTATAATGATGTCTTCTTTTAATTCTTTGTTTTGGTAATTTGTATTTTCTCTCATTTATTTCTTAGTTCAGTCTTAGTAGGGATTAATAATTTTGTTAATTTTTTTCGAAGAACCAATGTTTGGCTTCACTTGTTTCACTAGTATCTGTTATTAGTTCCTCTCTTCTTTTGGTTTATTTTTGCTGTTTACTGTTCATTTCCTAACCTTTTAAGTTGGAAGCTAGAGTATTGGTCGCATTTTGTTCTAACACGCAGTTAAATTACCAGCTCTTCATCTTTGTTCTGTTAAGTCCTGGTATTAAGTTTTCTTAGGTTAGGTCTGTTGAAGTTTTAGATGTATTTCTTCAGTGTGGTCCATTTTTCTAAGATGAGACCTTTGTGGGGTCTCACTTGAATGTCCATCGTCTTCATAAGGATTTCTCAGCTTTGGCTGGACTCCAGTGCTAATAACTAACTTTCCAGCACTGACCTTTGGTATTTTAAATTACCAGTATCAGCTTCCTACTGGGTCGCCTGTGTTTTTGACTAATCATGTGCAGCCCTGGAGATGAGCAGAAGTGAATGTGAATTTCTAAGCAGGCTTCTGGGGTTCCCTTTCAGTAGCTACCACATCAGAAAGCACTCTGACCCCTCAGTCCTGGCCACTTTTGCCCAGAACTCTGATCTCTTATTTTCTCTACTAAGATCACTGTTTCCTGTTTAGACTTCACTTTAATACCCAATTCCTAGAAAATGCTTCCAGGGTAGTCTTGGGGAAATGTTGGAATTACTTCATGTTTTCTTCTTTATCAGGGATTGCAGCCTTGTGTTGATTTCAGTCCAGTGCCTACAAAGAATTGTTTTTTTTTTTTAATGTGTGTTAGGCCATTCTTGCATTGCTATAAGGAAAACCTGAGGCTGGGCAATTTACAAAGAAAAGAGGTTTAATTGGCTTATGGTTTTGCAGTTGTACAAGCCATCTGCTCAGCTTCTAGTGAGGGCTTGGGCTTCTTACAATCGCATTGGAAGGCAAAAGACAGGCGCAGCATATCATGTGGTTGAGAGTGGGCGCAAGGCGGGGGCGTAGGTGCCACACACTTTTAAACCAGATCTCATGAGAACTCACTGTCACAAAGACAGCACTAACGGAATGGTGCTAAACCATTCATGAGAAATTCGCCCTCCTGATCCAATCACCTTTCATCAGGTCCCACCTTCCAACATTGGGAATCACATTTCAACATGAGATTTGGTGGAGACAGTATCCAGACTATATCAGTATATTTTGTTCAGATCTTAAAGTTACTTACAGTTGGAGATTAGGTCTCATATAAGCTATTCTCTTTGGTCTAAAGCTGATTTCCTTTCATTTTGTTTTATTGACACATAACTGCCTTTTAAGTTAGAGTCATTGCTTTGAGTTATTCTAGAAGAAACTTTGGTTTGTTTGTCATTATAGTATAAGTCCTGTATTTCTGAAAACAAGGTTAATTGGGAAAACAGCTTATGTCAGTTAATTTATTGTATAAAATTTGACATCTTAATTATCTGTTGTGTTTTTTTGTGCTTCAAGGAATCATCTGTTGCAGTTTACTTTAGAGTCACCACCCAAATTTCCTGCTTCTTCCTCATCAAAGAATCTTGCTGTCAAGGTAGATACTCCTATAGCCTCCAGACTGTCTTTAAAGCAGGGGAGCAGGTTAATGGATAATTTCTTGATCAGAGAAACGAGTGGTTCTACATCAGAGTTGTTGATAAAAGAAAATGAAAGCAAATTCAGCCCTCCAAAAGAGGCAAGCCCTGCTGCAAAGACCAAAGAGACACATTCTGTAGAAGAGATGGCTCCAGGTTCCTCAGAGGCCAAGCGTCCTGAGACACCCTCGACATCCACTTTGAAACAAGTTACTAAAGGTAGGAAGTTATTTTCATATGTGGAAGTATGGAAATCTTTTCATCTACTTGACATAAGAATAAATAGGCAGCATCTTTGAGGGGGAAGGAATGGTAAAGGACAAATCAGATTTCACTATGTCACAGTCTCAGCCATTGATGTGATGTAGATAAGTTTGTTCTTTCTCAGAAATAGGAATTCAGGCTGACTGCTTGAAAAAGGATACAATTTTAATTAGTTCAGGCTTCAAGTATGGCAGTAGCTTTCTGTTTTTAGCTTTTAATCCTTCTCCCCCCAATTCAGTACATCAGTTTGTATATAATCTTGAAGAGCTCTTTTTATCTTATTTTACCACCGCTTGACCACCTCCTCACTGTTCTGCCTGCCGTGTAAAGCCTTTGACAATTGGAGCCTTACCCTAATCATCCCACCGTATTGCTCATCTCTCCCCCTCAGAAGTCCTGCTCTAGCCAAACTGATCTCCCCACTGTTCCTCCAGTACACCGAGGAATTGGCACACTTCGACTGGCAGATCTAATCTGGCTTGCCACCTGTTTTTGTAAATAAAAGTTTTGCATACCCATTTGTTCAACGTATTACTGTGGCTACTTTCATGCTACGGTGGCAGAGTTGCGTGGTTGTGACAGAGGCCATATGATCCATAGAGTCTAAATTCTTCACTACCTGCCCCTTCACTAAGAATGTTTGGTGATCCCAAACATTCTTAGTGAATGTTATTTCAGTTCTATATTTCAGTATAGAACTGAAAAGTTCTATACCTTTACAGACTCTATCTGGATCTTCACTAGTCATTGGTTATGTTAGAAAATACTGTCTCACATCGCAAAAGCACTATAACACTTGTTTTCTGGACTGTTTTATAGACCGTTTGCTTAACTGTTTGATGAATATGTCAGCTTGTTTAACCTTTTGTTTCTATGTCTTCTTTCCAGTGAAGTTTAGAGCACCTTTTAGGCAGAAACTCTTAGACATCTTTGGTATACTCATACCATACACAGTGCAGAGATGTGAGTGTTTATTAAACTTAGATTGAATTAGTTTATTAGTACTTATGTGTTTACATCTTTTAAAGAGATATAAATTTCACCTACATTTTCAACTATATCTATCCTTAGTCTTTTTACCAATTGACAAATCTTATTGTAGTATTTTTTAGCTTGATGGTTAACTGTTTTCCCCTTAGCAAAACCTTTTTTCCCAAATGAAATTTTACAATAAACCATAACATATGAAATAGATTGTTCTGTTCTACCTGAACTCCTGCCTATTATCCATGGTGATCTGTAGGCCCTGAGATAACCCCACAGATCCCTGCAACTTTATGTAATAGTTTGAGAATGACAATATTCCTTAATTTTAACATTATATATAGAATTACAAATGAGAGCTAAGTTAACAAATTTATAACCATTGACAAAATTGAACAGTAGTTGGCGCAACTCAATAAATTATTTAATCTAGCTGTACCTGTCCTTTGCCCAGCCCCTGGGCCAGGTGTATCTTACTTAAGCTACTCTTGCTTCTATGCTAAACATGGATAGCTCCTAAGGCTTGGGAAAATTTAAGATTAGTTTTATAGTTTGGTCATACCTTGGTAGAAAAGATTTAACCAAAGCATTTTCTAATAAACGAACTTTCAAGCCTATTTGCAGTCTCTTCTTCTGGGCCTAGGACTTCAACTGTGTGACTTTCCACAATTTAGCCATTACCCAGTAACCAGTCTGTCCCACTCCTGTTGTCCTGATGGGCCATTCTTTTTCTTTTCTGCTTTTCTAAGTGCATGTTAAGTTGGAATTCTTTTTTACTTTAATTGCTGAAAATATTCCAGTTTATATTACTTTTGCCCCTTCTACGATTAATAAAGTCTCTCTTTTTCTTTTTAAAAAATACAGTGGATTGTCCTGTTTGCGGGGTTAACATTCCAGAAAATCACATAAATAAGCATTTAGATAGCTGTTTAACACGCGAAGAGAAGAAGGAAAGCCTCAGAAGGTAAGGAGGCTGAGCAGAACCATTGAGCTACTTTAGCTGGATGTCTCTTGTGCTTTATAAACTTGGGGGAAGATTACAGTATTCATTTTATCCTGGTGACTGTATTTCCCACTCTTACTTGATTTCTCCTTTAATCCTGTTGGCCACCTCTTCCAATTCCTTTTCTCTGTTCTGTCTTCAACTCCCACATTACCAAATATGATTAGTTGTATTGAATATTTGAACTGCTACTAAATTAGACTTAATAGGAAATTAGTGACTTCAAATTCAATTCTTTTTAAACTTTTTTTTTTTTCTCTTAGAATTTGAAAACTATCAAAAAGCCTCTTGGCCAAAGAAAGCAAGATTAGATTCTGAATATAGAATATAGAAAATCTTTCTCTGGTCCTTAGGATGCTCAGGAGTTTTAAAATTTAAAATCAAAATTTTTAAAAATTTTTGACTAGGAAATTTTATATATATATATATATATATATATAATGTAAAAAGGTACGAAAATGCAAATATGAAATGTAATGTTGTATCCCATCCCACCCCACCCCCACACCATCCAGGTAATGTAACTAATAAATTGTCAGCTTAGTATTTGCATCTAAACTACTGTGCTATTCTGCCTCTCTTATACATCAAAGTAACTAATTTTTAAACTAGTCCACTATGGTTATACATACAAGTTGTTCAGGAATGAAATATTAGACAAACTTAAGTTGAAAGGCATTAAGGAATCAATGCATAATAAAGAATCAGAAGATGCAATTTAGATGAGTCTGGTGATGAAGGGAGAAAGATGAGATGGTAGTTTGGAGAAGGAGTGAGTGGCGTGAAGATCAAGGGAAGATGTTTTTAAAAATTGGAGTTTAAGCCTTCAGTCTTGCAGAGGATAAATGGAAGAAACTGAGGAGCACAAGAGCCCAGTAATGAGGTTATCCTTGAGATGCAGAAAGGACTCTTTTTAAACAGGAGGCAAGGGGAAGCTAATAGGTGGTAATTGAGAGATATTTGGAAAAGACTAGGAGGGAAACTGAAGAAATTAATGTCCTTCTTCAGTTGTATCCTGGGAAGCGGTGATGAAAGAATGATTTGTTTCTATGTTCAGTCTGTTTTAAAGGACTTTGAAGAATATTTCCTGAAAGCAGTGTTAATAAAACAGAGCCATCATATTATTGTGATTAAAGATGTCACTTAATTTTTATAACTAAATTTGAAGTGAATGCAGATTTTGAGGGTCAGATTCATACTGTTTTAACTTACAATAGCTAACATATAAATCACAGTGATGCTTTATTAAAAATGGTAGACATACTTGAGTCCAAACCTGGGGCAATTTTGCATGCATAGTACTCCCACCTAGTGGGCAATTTTGTTGATGAGGATAACATTTAGATTTTTAGGTGGCTTAGTTAGTGGCGATTTTAAGAAAATAATTAGTGCTAAGGATTATTTCCTGCAAGCCATGAGAGTCAGATGACCTTCTTTTCTCTTGAGAAATGCATGAATTGGGAATATAGAAGCTGAGTATATGCTTTTTGAAGAATAAGGAATCTGCGCTGATGACGTTGCCTGGACTCCCCCTTTTCTAGATCCATTCATCAATTTGAATACATTTTTGATTGATCATTTCTGATGCTGTCAGTTTATTTAAAGACATACTTGTCCATGTGTAATTAAGTTCTAACAGTGGATCAAATTCCTACTCCAAAGAATACTATAGTCCTCCCAGTGCTCTGCAATGAACTTAGAAGCACTACCTCCTGGGTACCCCTCTTAGTATGTTAAGGGCTTTGAGAGGTCCTACATGAAGGATGACTGTTAGGTTTTGTTTAATTCAGTAATTCCTAAATTTATTTAACTGCCAAATCTTTCTGTTCTCATCACTTCCATCTTACAAAACTGGTGTTTGTGGAGTCACTGAATACAGCATTGGCCATGTCCTTCTTTAGTAGTATCCAGGCCCCAGGGTCGGGTCATAGAGAAGAGGCCATGCATATTTTCCTGTCTCCTCCACAATATCCTGACAGGCCATCTGCTGGATGTGAGTGGCAGCCCTTAACCCCTCTGTATAAAACCGTGTTAGAACTGATTCAGAGAATGCACTCTTCCTTTGATGTCCTCAGATTCTGAGGGCCCTTAAATGTATTACTCAGTTCAACTAAATCATAGAAGAAACGTAAATGTCATTTTCGTGTCTGGGGAAGCATTTATCAGGTTTCATGTTTTTAAATTCCTGACAGAAATTGTTGATCTCTGGTGGTGCTTTTTATTGTAAATGCCAGTGAACAGTACAGTTCTTCAATAGAATTTCACAGTCATAGTTTAATCATCTATCCTTGATAAAACAAATATTTTAGATACAGACTTAATGAATCATCTCTCCCTGTGTGCTTGTATAAACACAAAATGATTCAGCTGTTGCTACCTACTGAGATTTCATTTTGCCATAATTTTATCAGTCTTGTAGAGTCTGATGGGCTGTCATTATAAGAAGAGGAATTTTCAGAAAAATATAATCTGTTGAGAGTTTGCAGGTCTTTTCACAGTTAATTAGTTATTTCTGGCTTTTAGATCTCATTATTACAACATAAAAGACATAATTTAGTCAGGTAATGGCACTGTTGGTTAACAGAGAAATTTTTGATTGTTTTCAGTCTATACCTGACTAATATTTGTTTGATTATGGGACCATTTATATCAGATTTATTCTGGAGAACCTTGTTGAAAATAGAGATTTTAGATACCCGCTTCAGACCTGAACCACAATTGGTGGATGGTGTGGAGAAGGGGACGGAGAATCTGCAGTTTAAATAAACTATTTAGGTGCTTCTTAGGTACACTAATGTTTGGGACAGCATTGTGTGAGCTAGTTATATGCAAATCCTTTGTAAAAACTTGTTTTTTGGATAAACCTATTATTTCAAGTTTGTTAATTTTCATCTGAATCTTTGCTATTCTCATTTTGAAATGATAGCAAATGTAATAACCTCCTTGAGCATGTTTTTGTTTAGCACCTAATTGCCATAAAGCTCAGCTAGGTAGAGAACCTACTATAATCAGATAAAATGGATTAAAACTCACTAGGGAGTACCTGTTTATGGAATTGTCTCAAGTCATTCGTACTTTTAGGTAGTTTACATTTTTGCCCACTAGAATTTCTAGCATGCTTTAAAGAGGTGGAAAATTGAATAGGTCTATGTAAGTGTGATTCTAAGTGAAGTCCTTATAACATATTCCAAAAGCCTTACATATGTGTCTTCTAAGTGTGCCTCTTTAGGTCTGACCTCTTTGAGACCCAGTCTCTCACTTCTGGTGCTATCTAGGCCCCTATGTCTGAATATCTCACCAGCACCTCAGATGCATTATTTAGACAGTCAGCTTTATCCGCAAACTTGATTCTTCTCTCTCCTTTTTATCTTAATGGTTCTACTAGTTTTCCAGTCACCTAGTTGTTGAATCAGAAGATAAATTGCCATTTTACATGAAAAGCATTTGATAATTCACAATAATCATCAGGGATCTTTCTCCTCTTTTCAGTTCTGTTCACAAAAGGAAGCCACTGCCCAAAACTGTATATAATTTGCTCTCTGATCGTGATTTAAAGAAAAAGCTAAAAGAGCATGGATTATCTATTCAAGGAAATAAACAACAGCTCATTAAAAGGCACCAAGATTTTGTACACATGTACAATGCCCAGTGTGATGCTTTGCATCCTAAATCAGGTAAAGTAATAAAACAGTGAGTCATGCTTAGCTTCTGGATAAAGCAATTTTGTGTAGCTCAGAAATCACATACCATAGAAAAGTATTGTAAATAAATACATTTTTGATAAAGATAAGACATGCAAATGTATTCCTTCAAAAGGTAGCTACAATATGCTTTGATAAGCCAGCCTTATTATTAGCCTGTCTTCCAATGCTCAGATCTCTTCTCAGAGGCACTGCTATTGCCAGTTTCTCATGTGCCTTTCTAGGGAGAGTGTGGTAGGGAAGAATGGATCTGGAGAGCCTGGATTACAGTGCTAGTTTTTCAGCTTTATGGCTTGGTGACTGTGGGCATGTTACTTGATATCTCTGTACTTCAGTTTCCTCATTCAAAAAATAAGGGTTATAATACTACCTACTTTATAAAGGCATGGAAAGTGCCTAGGACAGTACCTTAACAAGTAGTTAGCATTCAGTAAATGTTGCCATTGTGATTTTTGTACACAAACATAAATGCTTTTCATTACTGTTTTTACAAAATGTTAGTATTTTGTGTAGTGCACTATTTAATGGTTGGTTCTTTTCATTAAACCACACACATATGTTGGAGTTCTTTCTATTATTAACATATAGATTTGCTTAATTTTAAAAAACTTGGTGAATAACATGCAAACATTAAAGCACACAAAATTTTAAGTGTATTGTTTAATGAATTATCACAAAGTCAATTTCATAAAGTGAAAATGTTGTTGTAGCCACTACTGAGATCACTACCGGCATCCCAGAAGCCCTGTCTGCCCCCCTCCCATTCACTACTTCATTCTCACATTTGACCACTGTCTTGACTTCTAAGCCCACGTGTTCATTTTGCCTGTGGTTGATCTTTAAATAAATGGGACAATAGCTTATGTATTCTTTTGTGCTTGCCCTTATTTGTGCAACATTAAAAGATTCATTCTTTTTGTATACAATTGCAATTTTTTTCATTTTTGTTGCTATATGGTATTCCATTGTATAAACATATCATCTTATCCATTCAGTGTTTAATAGGCATTTCAATTTTTTCTACTTTTTCTCTGTTATAATGCTGCTGTGAATAATTTTTTACATATCTTTTGGTGCACATAGGTGCATATTGCTGTTGGAGATATATATATATATATAGATATATATATGTATATGAATGAATGAATGGAATTGGTGTTATATATTTGCAGATGTTCAGCTTTCATGGATAGAGCCCCAAATTCAGTAGTCATGTATACTTTCATCAGGAGGGTATGCAGCTGTCAGTTGTTCTACACCCTTGACAACGTGACCATTGTTAACTCTCCATTTTAGCCATTCTAGTGGGTCCATGGTAGTACCTTGTTATTTTAATTTGCATTCCTTAATAACTTAATCATGTTCAGCACATTTTTATATGCTTATTCTATGTTTTATATGCCATCTGGATGTCCTCTTTGGTGAAATACCTGTTTAAATCTTACGTCCAATTCTTCTTGGGGATCTGTTTTTCTTATTTGTGGGAGTAATTGAAATTTTCTGGATAAAAATATTTTGCTTGATATATGTATATTTCTAATTTCAACTTTTCACTCTCTTAATGACATCATTTGAAGAGTAGAAGTTCTTCATCTAGTTCAATTCATTACATTTTTCCTTTTGGTTAGTGCTTTTACCTTAGCCTGCTTCAAGATTATGCAAATCTTCTCTTTCTTTTAAAAACTTTATTCTTGCTCTTAAATTTTGATGTACAGTTTATTTGGAATTGATTTTAGCATATGTTGTGAGGTAGAGCACAAGATTGTCTTTTTTTTTTTTATATGAATAACGAATTGATGCAGCACCACTAATTGAAATGCCATTCTTTCTCCCACTGAATTGCCTGAAGTCTTGGCTGAGAATTAGCCGATTGTACACGTGTAGGCCTGGACACTGTTTTGTTCCATTGGACTGTTATTAACCCTTGTGCAGTATAAATAATGTGTGTCTTAAGTACTTTGTAAGTAATTTATAATAGGTCTTGTTGTCTGGTATTATAGTTCTTACAGCTTAGATTATTGAGGTTGACTTGATATTTTTAGGCCTTTTGTATTTCCATATAAGTTTTTAAATTGGGATTACATTTAATTTGTAGATCAATTTTGGAATGGTTGATATCTGTACAGTATTTGAGTATTCCAATTCATGAGTATAGTTTATCCCTTTATTCATCTTTGATTTTTGTCAGTAGTGCTTTGCAGTTATCAGTGTGGAGGCTTACACATCTTTTTAAAGAGTTATTCTTTGATATTTTTGATGCAGTTGTACATTATGTTTTGTTAAAAAATGTCAATTTTTATTAGTTACTTGTTTAGAAAAAGACAACTGATTTTGTATAGTTTCCTTATATTCAATGGCTTGTCACTTTTTTATGTGCCCTTTTTATTGAGGTATAGTTTACTTACAATATAATACATTCTTTAAAAGTGTATAGATGAATTTTCACAAATGTATATTAGCCATTGTTCTAACTGAAATGTAGAACATTTCCTTCATTAACAAGTTTCAATGCCTCTTTGCAGTATATTCCTTCTCCTTTACTCTAAGACCCTAGGAAATACTGATCTCTTTTTTTGGCCCTATAATTTTACCTTTTCTAGACTGTCACATAAATGAAATTACACAAATTGTATAGTATGTAGTCTTTTACGTATGGCATCTGTCTCTAAGTATGATACTTTTGAGATTTTTTCATGTTGTTGCTTTTACCAGTAGTACATTTATTTTTTATTTTATTTATTTATTTTTTTTTTTTAGATGGAATCTTGCTCTATGGCCCAGGCTGGAGTGCTGTGGCATGATCTCGACTCAGTGCACCCTCTGCCTCCCGGGTTCAAGCGATTCTCATGCCTCAGCCTCCTGAGTAGCTGGACTATGGGTGCCTGACACCACACCTGGCTAATTTTTATATTTTTAGTAGAGATGGGATTTCACTATATTGGCCAGGGTAGTCTCGAACTTCTTACCTTGTGATCCACCCTCCTCGGCCTCCCAAAGTGCTAGGATTACAGGTGTGAGCCACCATGGCCGGCCAGTGCATTTATTTTTTATTGCCTGGCAGTGTTCTGCTTATGGCCCTGCCACAATTTGCATACCACTTCACCTATTAATGGGCAACTGGACTATGTTCAGTTTTTTCTTTATTTAATCAGTAAAGCTGTTATGAATATGGGCTCACAGATCTTTGTATAACCTTATGTCTTCATTTCTCTTGGGTGGAGTTGAATTGCTGGGTCATATGGTAAATGTAACTATAAGAGCCTGCCGTATAGTTTTTCAAATGACTGAACCATTTTGCATTGTGTGAGAGAGTCCCACTTTTCCCACACACTTGCTAACACTTGGTATTTTCATTCTTCTTAATTTTCGCCATTCTAGTGGGTGTGTGGTAGTGGTGTCTCATGATGGTTTTAATTTGCATTTTCCTGTGTCTAGTGGTGTCTACTGTCTTTTGATATTTTTTATTTGCTATTTGTATATTTTCTTTGATAAAGGATCTGTTGAAATATTCTGCCCCTTAACTCTTTTTATTGATTTGTAAGTTATTTATATATTCTGGATACTGAATTTGTTAAATATATGTGTTGTGAATATTTTTATCTTAGTATGTGGCTTACCTTGTCATTTTCTTAATGTCTTTGAAGAGCAGAGATGAAATTAGTTTACTTTTTTATTTTATAATTTATGGGTCTTGTGTATCGTTTCATGATACACAATTGTGTTGCATATCAACAAAATATTTGCCTATCCTAAGATCACAAAGATTTTCTCCTGTGTTGTTTTCAGGAGTTTTATAATTTTAGCTTTTATATTTAAATCTATGATCCATTTTCATTTAGTTTTTCTATATGGTAGAAGGTAAATGTCAAAGTTCATTTAAAAAATATGTATGTCTAGTTTTTCAGCACATTTGTTAAAAAGACTCTTTTCCCCACTGAATTACTTTGCCTCCATTGTGAAAAACCTGTTGGCCATGTATATAGTATGCAAATCTATCTAGAATCTATGCCGTTCCATTGATCTGCGTATCTGTTCTTTCACCCATGCCACACTCTTGATTTCTGTAACGTTATAGTAAGTCTTAAAATTATCAGGTAGTATAAGTCCTTCAACACTCTTGATTTCTGTAACGTTATAGTAAGTCTTAAAATTATCAGGTAGTATAAGTCCTTCAACTGTGTTCTCAAAGTTGTTCTAGGTCCTTTGCAATTCTACGTAAATGTTAGACTCAGTTTTTTGTTTTGTTTTGTTTCGTTGTTGTTGTTGGTTTTTTCTCTCTAAGAAATGTCAGGCTATTATCCATTCTTCTTGTTTACTGTTTTCTGAATACTCAGTGTAGAAATAACCACTTTGACTTTACCCTGATGTTACAGGCAGAGCAGAGCATCTGCATCTGTGCTGCTGGTAGGTCCAGGACAGCATCTGCAGGACATTCAGTTTATTAATGTGTACCTTTTGGGATTTTGAGTGAGATTACCCACATCAGCTTAGAACTGGTATCTTAACAATATTAAGACTTTTAATGTAAATTCTTGCTATGTCTCTTTAGGCCTCCTTTAATTTCTCTCAATAGTGCTGTCTAGTTTTTTATGTATTTTGTTAAATTTATCCCTAAATATTTCATGTCTTTTGGTGCTATTACGAGTGGTGTTTTAAAATTTCAGTTTCTTATTGTTTATTACTATTTTGAAGACTCATTTTGATATGTTAATTTTTATATATTTGTATACTATTAACTAGTGAAATTCACTATTTCTGATTTTTTATAGATTTCATAGGATTTTTATATACACAATCAAGTTACATGTCAAAAACAAGTTTTTTTTTCAGTCGATATGCATTTTATTTATCTTTCTAGCCTTGGTTGGTTGCATTGGTAGAACCTCTAGTGTGATGTGAGACAAAAGTGGTGTAGGCAAATATCCTTTCCTTTCCCCAATCTTTTTTTTCATATGAATTTTTTAAGAAAGGAT